CAGAACAGGCAACCTCCCCACACACCAACCCCAGAAGCCTCATTTCAGGGGGTCCCAGCTGGGAAAGGAAGGGGAAATCTCCTGGCCTGGCAGGATTCCTGCCTGGAGGAACATCCTGCCTCCCCCGAGCCCAGGCAGTGGGATCAAGCCAAGCAACCAGCTCCTGCCTCGGGGGGTCCATGTTAGAATGTTCCAGCTTTTCCAGGGCAGGAGCTGCTGAGGGAGGCCTGGAGAGAGGGGGCTGCCTGTCAAGGAACGGGGGAACCTCGAGGCAAGAGCCAGGTCTGAAATGAGTGGCTGCTCCAGGTACATTCCATGGCTGCAGCCAGGGGTGAAGATAAATGGGGGATAAACATGGGAAAGGAGGCAGAAGCAGGAACAAACCTTCCCTCCCTGGTCAGGAAGCACTGAACTATGTCTGTCCCACGGCCTGGGCAGGAACAGCACCATTCCCAGCAGGACATGGGAGAGGGGGACAGGCCAAGCTGTCCCAGGGCTGCAGGGCTGGATGTGGAGCACTGGGGCAGGGAGCTGCATTCCCAAAACCTGGGGTAAGGAACAGGAGCACAGATGGGCTCAGCAGCAACAGGAACCTTCACAGCCCCCACTTCTCCTGGTGGCTCCAGGAGGATTTGGCAGAACAGCCCCCTCCTCGCTCCGAGGGCAGCAGTGGGATGGGAGACCCTGTTGGGTGTGCCCACAACAGCCCCTGCAGCCCAGGAGGGGCTGGGGCAGATCTGCCACCCCTGCCCAGGGCACAGAGCCCAGGCCATGCTCCCCAGGGGTGGGACAGGCCAGCAGGGTGTGCTGGGGACACTCACCACGTCCCCAAACCCTGAGCCCAGCGGGGTACAAAGGAGTGAGCAGGACCCAGCTCTGACAGGAACCAAACCCCAGCAGGTCCCAGGCCCCTCTGCCCCCAGAGGGACACAATCAGCCCATGGCAGGGACATGGGGACCACAGCAGCCCCCAGGGGACACAACTCCAGTGCGACCAGGGTGGTGAGGGGGTCACTGCTCTGACAACAGGGCAAAACTGCTGCCTGAGCCCAGCTGAGAGACCCCATCCATGGGGACTGTCCCACTGAGCTCTGCTGTGCCCTGACAGCCCCAGTCTGGGTGCAGGGACCACCAGTGCCACCCAGTCTGCCCCAGTCACACCAGGGTGACAGTCACACTCTCAGCAGCTGCTTTTCTGCAGGGGCCAGACAGGCAACAACGGGGTCCTTTGCTCTTCTCAAACCACCCAACATGTAAACCAGTTTAAAAGGAGGATTTTTCCCTATTGCTTTTGCTCCTGCCTGCACAGAGTCCCTGCCTGAGGGACAGGCTGTGGGGAGTCCTGCAGAGGGCCAAGGCCACCCTCAGGTGCAATCTGAGCTGCACCCAAGTCCCCCCAAAACCTTGATCCCTGCACAGCTCGCTGGGGACCTGCTGGGAGCTCAGGGCTGGGGAGGGACAGGGGGCCTGCTCTCCTGCCTGGCTCTGGGAGCTTTGTCCCTGTGTCACCACACGGCTCCCTGAGCTCTGGGCAAGGTGTGACACCCGTGGCTGCCCTGCAGAACCAGGTGCCAGCCAGCCCTCCCCTGGGTCACAGCACGTGGCAATTCCCCAGTCCCACCTCGTTCCTCTCCCTCCTGCTGCTCAGAGCCTCCCCCTCCTGCAGCTCCACAGGGGCTCTCTCTTCCCAGGTGCCTGATCCTCAGCTCCTGCCTCCCAGCCACACACCAACTCTGCAATCCACTCACTCACAGCTTCCTGCCCGACCTCCTTCCACCTCCCCCATCTCCAAACACTGTGGGAACCAACCAGCTCTGGAGCACAGAGGCAACTGAAGCTACACTTGGAAAAAAAACAAACGTACGAGATCTACCTTTAACTGAACCAAAAAGATCCTTCTGCACATATCCAACCTACCTCTACAAGCCTCTCCTAGGAACCAACGAGTTCTCCCTGGCTGTGCTACTCAAAACCACCTTGCTGGGCCCACAAGGCAGCTGCTGGAGCCGAGAGTGCCCCGGGGGGAGCACGAGGAGGGTCCCAGAGCCCTGCCCGGGCAGGGGGTGTGAGCTGAGCCGTGCCCACAGCAGTGCAGGGGTCCCATGGATGCTGGGAGGGCCGGGGAATGCTGAGCATGCTGCTGTGCACGGGTGGACAGTGTCACTCTGAGCAATTATTGCACTGCTTCACGGAGGCGCAGGAGGAGCAGGACAGGGACGGGGCGAGTCATCGCTTCACCTTCGCGTCTTCGCGGATCTTCCACACCATCAGCTCCATGCAGGCCCGGGCGTCCTCGCTGGAGTCGTGGCCTTCCACTGGGGACACAGAGACAAGGCTGGCACGTGGAATCATTCAGGCTGGAAAAGCCCTCCAAGCCCAACCCTGGACCAAACCCCGCTGTGCCCACTAATCCACACCACAACGGGCCACCTCTGCCTGCTTTCTGAACACTTCCAGGGATGGTGATCCCACCACTGCCCTGGGCAGCCTGGGCCAATTCTTGACCACTCTTTCAGTGAAGAAATTTTTCCCAGTATCCAACCTGAACCTTCCCTGGTGCCTCAAGTTTTGAGGCTGTTTCCTCTCATCCTGTCCCTTGTTCCCTGGGAGCAGAGCCCGACCCCCCCAGACCCCCTCCTGTCAGGGAGTTCAGAGAGGGAGAAGGTCCCCCCTGAGCCTCCTTTGCTCCAGGCTGGGCCCCCCCAATTCCCTCAGAAGTTCTTCAGACCCTTCTCCTGGTGCTCCAGCCCCTTCCCCAGCTCCATTCCCTTCCCTGGACACTCTCCAGCCCCTCAATGTCCCTCTTGTCCTGAGGGGCCCAGAGCTGCCCCCAGGATCTGAGGTGTGGCCTCAGCAGTGCCAGCACAGGGGGACAGTCACTGCCCTGGTCAGGGAGGACAGAAAGGAACAGGCCACACTTCAAACAGGAAGGTCAATCTGAGTTGACCACAGAGAGGAGGGAGGGCAGGACCTGACCTTGGCAGAGCCACCCCCAGCCTTCTCACCCCCCTGGCCCAGGGAAGGACCCAGAGAGCGCCGCTGCCCCTGGCACAGGGCTCACACTGCACAGGGCAGAGACTCCACATGGGGAACACTCCCAGGCACTGCCAGGGAAAAAAGACTAGGAGCAGGAGGATGGGAGCAGAGGCAGGCAGAGCCAAGGAGCCTGGAGGCAGGAGGAGCCCCCCAGCCTCACCGTTGTCCTGGATGATGCGCTTGAGGTAGTCGGCCATGAGCGTGCGCAGGGCCCGCTTGTAGGGCAGCCCCAGGCGGTGGGGGAACACGATGGCTGTGTCCACCACGGTGCCGTGGATCAGCTGCAGGAGGGAGGGAGCACCAGGGAGAGGGGGTTACTGTCCCACTCCCACACGGACAGACACTCCTCAGCACTGACCGACCTCCCGGCCAGGCCCCGGGGCCGCCAGCAACTCCCAACCCAACCAGTCCTGCAGGAAGGGTGACTCCCCCTTGGAGGGTGCTGTGCCAGGCAGACACCTGCCCCCAGAGCCCTGCCCATCCCACATCCAAGGCAGCAGAGATTCAGGGCTGACTCAGTTCATGGAACTCAACAGGACAGGTCAGTCCTTAATATCCTGGCCAAGCTGGAATAACTCTCAGAGTCTTTCACAATGAAGAACTAAACTGGGGAATCAGTTGACCTCACAACCTTGTAACAGCCTTTCAACTGCTTCTCAAGATGAAGCAGCTTGACCTAGTGAGTGGCAGCCTGATCCAGAGAGTGCCATCCCTGCCCATGGCAGGGGCTTGGAACCAGATGATCTTTAAGGTCCCTTCCAACCCAAACCATCCTGGGATGATTCTAAGATGTGGACAGAAGTGGGGAAGATGAGCAAGACAGAACTGCACCTGACCCAGTGCACATCACCTGCTGCTACAGAGCAGGCCTGACCTTCAGGGTGCAAACAACCCGAAATCCTCCCGTCCCTCAGCAGTGAGTCACCAGGAAGCTTTTAACCAGCACCAGCTCAGCCAGGATGAGGTGGGACAGGGAGATCCTATCACTGAATCACATCAGAGAATGGCTTGGGTAGGAAGGGACTTCCAACCCCCTGCCATGGGCAGGGACACCTTCCACTAGCCCAGGTTGCTCCAAGCCCCATCCAACCTGGCCTTGGACACTTCCAGGGATGGGGCAGCCACAGCTTCTCTGAGCAACCTGTGCCAGGGCCTCCCCACCCTCACAGCCAACAATTCCTGCCCAATATCCCATCTCACCCTGCCCTCTGGCACTGAGAAGCCATTCCCCTTGTCCTGTCCCTCCATCCCTTGTCCCCAGTCCCTCTCCAGCTCTTGGAGCCCCTTTAGGCCCTGCAAGGGGTTCAAAGGTCTTTCTGGATCCTTCTCTCCTCCAGGTGAACCCCCCCAGCTCTCCCAGCCTGGCTCCATGGCAGAGGGGCTCCAGCCCTCTAATCTGATGCTGCAGCTGTGAAGTGACATCCTGCTGGAGGAACTGAGGTCCATGTGCTCCCTGCCCTGCACCAAGGGCCTGGGATGGCCAGGAGCCACCACCTGCCCAAGTCCACAATCACAGGGTAGGCTGGCTTTTTTCACACTAATTTCTAACTCTCAGGCTAAGACAAGAGCAATCCTTTCCTGCCAAGAACTGTGTTCAGTGAGAGCTAAAGGGAGGTGGATGAAGGCAATCCCACATCTTGAGCACAGGAATAAAATGCAGGGTCTAAAAGATAAACTTGCATCTGACCAAGAGACGGCTCTGCAAGTCTCGACACGGGATGACTCCTACAGGACCCTGATAATCCCATCTCCCTGCCTGCCTCAACTCTTCTGAGGCACCAGCTAATACTGCAGGACAACCTGTAGCTCCATCACTAACAGCTCCACAGCCCAGCTCCAAAAAAAATGCCCAAGAACAGCCACACTCGAACAGAAACAACCTGCCACGCTCTCCGAGTGTAAAACTGCCAACGGTATGGATAATCTGTCCTGGGCTGCACTCAGCTCTGGCACCATCCCAGGCACAATGGTAATTACTTATGTAGATCAGGAAGGCTGAGGAAAGGGGATAATAAAGCTTTAAATAAAACTTGAAGTGCTATCACCATTTGGAGCTGGCCACGGCCATTAGCGAGATGTCGACTTTACTGCCACAGCCATTAAAACCTGACATCCCACTGCCTGTCAGGCCCTGCTGGATGGCTCTGGGCTCCTTCCCTTGGCAGTGCTGAGAGGAAATCATGCCTCTAAGAGGCCAAGGCAGTCATCTCGAGCTGATAAAACTGTGAATGATGTTTTTGTGATGATGATGAAGTCTCTCCCGGGCTGGGATAAAGGGTGCCACGGAGAGGTAAAGTGTTTTACAGGCATTTAAAACCTCCTGCTTCCAACCCAGAGCCATGAGCTGGCAGCCACAGCTGCTGCAGCAGGGGGGCTGTGGGATGAAGGATGGCTGGAGGAAGTTCTGGCCAGCAGGGGGGCTGTGGGATGAAGGATGGCTGGAGGAAGTTCTGGCCTGTGAGCACAGAGCAAAGACAGCTCCTGCCCCCCACACGCTTTCTCAGTGGCCCTGGACAAGGCCCTGGGATCCATGTGCAGGGGGCAAGGGGAGGGGACAGACCTTCCTGGTAGGACAGCAGGATAGCTGAGGGATGTGCAGACCAGGCTGACGAGGGCCAGGCAGGAAACGAGACAGAGAAGGGGTCAAAATAGTGACCTAAAGTGCTCAAAGTAACCCCACAAATCCCAGTAAAGCAGGCAGAGAGCAGAGAACAAACGTGGCAGAGGTGAAAGGCAAATGATTTCAGATCAGTCACAGAATACATGGAATGGTTTGAGTTGGAAGGGACCTTAAAGCTCATCTCATTCCATGGGCAGGGACACCTTCCACCAGACCAGGTTGCTCCGAGCCCATCCAACCCTGTCACCTCCAGACAGGTCTGTCACCCTGGGCAGCACCAGCACTAAAAGCTGGGCTGACACCACGAGTGACACACGACCCCTCCCCTGCTCTGCCACCACAGACAGGAGCCCACCAGCTCAGAGATCAGATCTGCCCTTGGAAATGCCACCTCCTAAACTGCAAGGAGGCACTGAACACCCCCAGGGGAGAGGGGAAGGCAGGACACCGAGTTACCTTTAGTGCAAACAGGTCGCTCTCCAAGCTGTGCCCTATCAGGATGGTGTCTGCACTGAACATGTTCAGGAGCACGGCCTGGACGTCCCGCAGGGTGATGCTCGTGTTCTCCAGGTCCTCCTCTGTCACACCTGAGAATCTGCAGAGCAAGAGGAGGGAGCTGGGAAGGAGGAGACACCTCAAGGCCCCACAGCACCTCAGCTGTTAGGAAGTGGTGGTCAGTGGTTTCAAGGAGCACTCCCAGCCATCCCTCCAGGTTCTGGCAGAGCACAGAGCTCTGTCCCAAGGAAGAACCACCCTTGCCTGGTGTTCCAGTCCTTCTCTGGTGTTCCAGTCCTTACCTGGTGTTATAATCCACCACCTTGGAGTCTGGTTTGACGAAGGTGTCGTACACCACCTTCAGGTCCGAGTTGATCACAGTTACTCTTGTCAGCTCCAGCCCTTGCTTCGTGTAGCACTGCAAGGAACAGGGCAGGAGTGAAGGGCAGCACACACCAACCCCCTGGGGACCCCCCTGGTCATCCTGAAAGCCTCCCCTGCAGCAGGTTCTGAAGGTCAAGGGGGAGCAGGAACAAGGAACTGAGGACAAGGCAGAGGCTGTGACTGCCCTTTAGCCCCCTGACATGGTTTTGGCCAAATGGAGCCCTTCCCCCAAGTGCTGCAGTTCCCAAAATGCAGCAGAGAGTGCAGAGAGACCAGGCAGCAAACACTGCTCAGGGTGGGCCAGCCAGCCACGGGTCCCCAGATCAAACACAGCAATCCCTAATTTGCATGAACAGAACCAATCTGATTTAGAGTCCACATGAGAGAAGGTCAGGAAACAGAGCTTGACCTTCCCCAGAAAGCTTCATGGACCCACCATTTCACAGTCTAAGGCGTAGATCCCAGGGTACCCATCAGTCGTAGGCAGCTTCTCAAAAGTCTTCACAAAGCCATCCAGGCTCTCCTTCCTCCCATCATGGACATGTTGCTTAAAGGAATAAAAAAAAAGGATTTGTTGATGATAAAAACAAGAACCCAAAAAGTCCATTTCAATGATCCCCAACTTGGATCCATTTGAGAAAAAAAATAATTTTTTAATCATTTCTAAAGGTTAACAGGGAGTAAGTTTTGCCTACAGTGGGTCTGCAAAGTTCACCACAACAGCAAAGACAACCATGTGCAACCCCAGCTCCAGATCAGGGCTGGTGGCATCATTCTGACAGTGCAATGAGGAGCAGGACATCATCTGGGGACAAGGAGCTTTCAGTCTGGAGTAGAATTAGTCAGGAATTGACTAACTGATCTAACTCCAGCCCCTGGTTCCCGTGGCCACGACATGCCCAGGTGCAGGATTCTGATCCCAGGAACCCCTGTGTGAGCAGGAGCATCAGGGGCAAATGCCATGAGAAACCGGTGTAACTGAGCACCAGAAAACGTCAAAGTGTGCATAAAATCAAAGCCACTGTGTTCCAAACCCAGCCAGTTCACACAAAAACAGGAGCTACAGCCCACAGCACTTGAGGCAACAGAGGGTATTTCCAACCACTCCTGTTATTCCCAGCTAAAGCTCTAAAGGTCAACAAGATCCAGCAGGAAAACTCAGGGAGTGATTTCACAATCAGCTTAAGCCAATGCAAGACTGAGCTGCTGTTGCAACAGGTACTCCCACACTGCTCCCCAGCCACTGATCCCACCCCTGGGGATCCTGGAAGCCCTCCCTGCAGCAGGAATTCTGAACTGGATGGAGTTTGAAGGGGAGGCAGGACCTGAGGGCACGGCCCAGGCTGGGGCTGCCCTTTTGCCCTGACATGGTGTGAAGGCAGACTGGGGTGCAGCACCACACCCAGAGGTGTTGCCCTCCCTCCCTCACCCCCAGTGGCTCTTGGTTGTGTTTCAGTTTTGTCTGTCCCTAAATCTCAGTGTATTTGTGCACAATCACAGCAGCCTGGGCACAGCCTCCTGCACTGTGCTTAGGATCATGGAATCCCAGAAGATCCAAGACCCCAAAGATTATCAAGTCAGCCCAGCCCCACCACTGTGGCCACCACTAACCCCTGTCCCCAAGGGCCACATCCACATGTTTTTTGAACAGTCAGGGATGGTGACTCCACCACTGCCCTGGGCAGCCTGTTCAATGCCTGACCATCTCTTCCATGAAGGAATTTTCCCTAATCTCCCACCTGACCCTCCCTGGCACAGCTTGGGGCCGTTCCCTCTCCTCCTGTCCCTTGTTCCCTGGGAGCAGAGCCCGACCCCCCCCAACTCCCCCCTCCTGTCAGGGGGTTGCAGAGCCAGAAGGTCCCCCCTGAGCCTCCTTTTCTCCAGGCTGAGCCCCCCCAGCTCCCTCAGCTCCTCCTGCTGCTCCAGCCCCTTCCCAGCTCCGTTCCCTTCCCTGCACACGCTCCAGCCCCTCCATGTCCCTCTTGTCCTGAGGGGCCCAGAACTGCCCCCAGGGTTCAAGGTGGTGCCTCAGCAGTGCCAGCACAGGGCAGAGCTTCCCACAGACCTCACCCCAGCAGGAATCAAACTGTGCTGGTTTGTCTCAGGACCAAGGGCTGGAGAGGTGAGGAACTGAGGCCCCTGTGAAGCTGCAGTGTGCAGGCAGAGGGGTAACCAGAGCAGGATTTGCATATTTTCCTGCACAGGTCACTGCTGCAGGTGCAGCCAGAGACAGGAACTGCACCATTTGGAGTTAATGAGGTGGCTGGGCCAACTCTGAGGCCAACTCTGCCTGGATCCAAAGCCAGCACTGCTCAAAGGCCTCGTGGTTCGCTCCTTCCCAGGAGCAAGAGGCCACACTTGGCCATTCTGCATCCATGGCATGGATCCCACTGTTCTGCTGAGGGAATGGGCAGAGCAGCTCACCAGCCAGGAGACAGTAAACACTTCTCTCCCTGGCACCCTGAGCCCTCCCCTTCCTTTGCAATACAACAACACTGGGCAGTGATGGAAAGAAAAAAAACCAATTAGGTGTTTTTCTATGCTGTAGTTGTTGTTCTGCAACGTCCCAGCTCCTCCTGGCTGGGAGGAGGGCAGAGAAGCTGCTCCTGTTTTTCAGACCAGAGGAAGCAGCAGGCTCGGGAGTCACAAAGGGCCACTCCGGGCTCCCCGGGAGCAGCACAGCTCCATCCTGCCACCTCCTGCCTCCCTGCCTAACTGCAGGACACCCGGCCAGGCACAGCCACAGCCTTTGGGAAGACACACACGTGCTTTCCCAGGTCCAGTTACTGAGAACAGCGTCCCATTACAAACAGTTTCTGGTTTCAGTGCCCTCCTTCCAAGCTGGAAGATGCTGTGCTCCCCAGCATCCCACCATCTCTCTGTGCACTGCCCCTGAGCAGGCTGTGGATCCAGCCTTAAACCTACCAAAGGATGCTGGGAAAACTGGGGGCTTAGAAAAAGGAGGGAGAGGGACTTTTTATACTGGTATGGAGTGACAGGGCAAGGGGGAATGGCTTCCCACTGCCAGAGGGCAGGGGGAGATGGGATACTGGGAAGGAATCCTGCCCTGGGAGGGTGGGGAGGCCCTGGCATGGGTTGCCCAGAGGAGCTGTGTTTTTATAGCCCCACCAAATCCTCCTGACTGTCATCCCTGCTGGATGGGGGGGTTTTTTTGAACACTGACTAAAAAAAGAACCTCATTTTACATTAAACAAGAAGAGAAGTAGCAGGCTGAGCCCATCCATGCTTCCAGCTGTGCAGGGCAGGCTTTTATGGTGCCCAGACAGAAAACTCTTCCTATTTTAACAAACCTTGACTTTCCCACCTCTGGTTTTTGGTTCTCCCCTGCATGGCAGCTCCAAATATAAAAATGCCACTAAAACAAGTGACAAGGAGCATCCCCAGAGAGCTGAGGGAGAGGCAAAAGAGAGATTTGCTCCCTTCAGCCCATGGTTTGAGAGGACTGGTGATGCCAGGCTGGGAACCAACTCTCCTGTTGCCTGAGGAAAGCAAAAAACACCTGTGCAAAGGTATCCAAAACAATGCTCAGCTTTATCCAAGGACAAAACTCCACTCCTGAGCAGGATTTTCATTCTGTTTTCTAGTGCTGGGCTCCCTCCTCAGGAGAAGTGATATTTATGAGTTACAACAGGCTCCTTGGGAAGGTTCCTCCCCTGACTGCAACAAGGGGAAGGCAGCAAGCAAAGCTTAGAAAAGACATAACCTACAGCAGAAAATTACCTTTAGCATGGGAATCTGGGAAAGGAAAAGATGGGAAAAAGGTTTTGGCACACTGTTGTCAAGGCTCTGAGACTGCTCCTCAGAAGGAAATCTCTTATTTCTCATTTCTGTGACTCCCTGAAGAACAGGAGCTTCTGTGCACCCCTCAAGGAGAGGAGCTTTTTGGGCAGCTGAGGATCAATGGAACCACCTCACTCCACACAGCTGAGTGCCAAACACTGGATTTTCCTACCTTTGCAGAGCAAAAAATATTTAAGTGGTACTTGTTTTCCTCCCTTAAGGGAAGCCACTGCTCTTCCAAAGGCTTAAACAAGTGTTTCCCAGCCACTGCCACTGTCAGCAGAGCACAAATGCCACTGAGAATAAAAAGGTTCTGCTCAATGACTTACTTTAGCAACCTGGCAGCCTGGTGAGCCCACAGCTCCTGAGCAGCAGCTGTAATGAGTTTCCCATCCACCTGGCACTGCAAGAGCAAGAGATTCAGAGTCAAAAAGTCTCGTTACCAAGAGGCCTGAACTTCAGCTCTCACTGAGAGATACCCTGGAAGAGCACAGCAACACTGAGGTGTCAGACACAGGGGGGAAATAACTCTGGATTCACAGGCAGCAATCTGAGGAGTTCAAGCCTCTCGTGCTCAGCCAGACAAACTCCAGAAGCCACCTGGATAATGTGATGGAAAACCAGAGCAGAGCTCAAACTAGGTTAGTGTCTCACTGCAAATGAATTCAACCAAGGGCAGCAAACTCTCCTGGGAGGGACAGACCTTTAGAGCTCCCAGCCAGCCTCCTAGAAGGCTGATTTTTTTTTTCAAAAGGCACAGGAAGGTTCAATTTTTCTTCTACTTCTTTTAAACACAGATGAACCACCTCTGCTGCACCCCCAGTGTCATGGTTTGGGGACTGTCCCACTGTCCAGCAGCTCTTTGCAAGGCCATTGCAGCAGCAGCAGGGCCACCAGTGACAGGGCCAGGAAGTGCCAAGCCCCCAAATGAGGACTGCTGTGTGTTTGGAGCTGGGCACAGCCCCCCTGGCAGGGACTGACCTCTCTGCTTGCGCAGCCTCCCCCAGTGATGGACACACTCCTCCTTGCGGATGCAGTTCCCCGAGGCTGAGACCATGTACTCGGTGCCACAGCGACAGCAGATCCTGCAGGAGGCTTGGGGAGAGCAGAGAAACAACAGTCAGGTCACCAGAAACCCCTCAGCCAAAGCACAGCCAGGTCACACTCACTCAGACTCATTCAAACAGCAGCGAAACGTCTTCTGTTAGAAAGGATTCCAAATGTTGTTCCCAACTCCCACAGAGCCACAGCAACCCCTCTGAAAATGCACCCCCGCAGCATCTGCCCCTCTAAACACTTCCCAGAGGTAAATCACAGGACTCTCTGCTGGGTTTGGTGCACAGCAGCAGCTGCACCACAGCTCCATCAGCATTTGCTGCACTGTTTCCCCGTCCACAGCAAATTACGTTGGACTCTAACACAGTTATTTTAAGAAACAGGATAAATAAGTCATTCTTTGGACATCAGGGCTAATGAGGCCTGGTTTCCAGGGGATCTGTGCCTTGTCACTTCCAAATGACATTTCAGTCCTTCCAGGGCACAGCTTTCCTGCAAGGATTACCAGCACCCAAAGATGGGAACACTCCCAGCAGAGCCTGGCTACAGGTCAGGGACTGTTCTCTCCTGCCAGCTGTGCTTGTGCTGCCCAAACTTTGGAGAAGGGGGATGCAAAAAGCCATTGTAAAGTAGTGGACTCTCATCCTTCTGATCTCCAACAATTCCTTGAGTCCCAGCTGTGACCATTTCAGCTGTTATCACATTCCCAGCCCACTGGTGCCCACTGACCACGGTCACAGCATGAACAGACCTGCAACGGCTCGAGTTAAACAAGGAGGAATTCAAACATCCTGCAACATCTGCAGGAAACTCCAGGAACATGAGCTCAGGATCACAGAAAAGAGCTGGCTGGTTACCTGGAGAAAAGGGCTCTAACAAATACAGCACTTGAGAGTGTTAATGCAGGAGGGCTTTAGTCCAGGTTGCTTCAGCAACCACAGGACAAATGTAGACACAAGGTGTTAACATGGATGAGCACTTAACACACTCCAGAGAGGTCTCTCCAAAGAGATGCTCAGAGGAGCGTGGAAAGGCACCTCCAAAGAGATCCTCACTCTGGGTTTTATCCCTGCTGCAGCACAAACTGCTTTAATCAGTGTCTGGGGAGCAGAAACTCTGCCAGGAGTTCAGAAAATTCAGAGAGAGAAGGAGCCCATCCCATCCTGAGGAAACCTGTGGGATCAAGGCCAGGTTGGACGGGGCTTGGAGCCACCTGGGCTGGTGGAAGGTGTCTCTGCCCATGGCAGGGGGTGGCACTGGATGGGCTTTAAGGTCCCTTCCAACCCAAACCATGCTGTGATTTTATGATCATTTTTTCCAGTTGCAGCAGAAAACACTGCAATCCAGCCCAGCAGGGCAGGCCCCACTGCCAAACCAGCCTGGCCCAGTGCTGGTCCACAGCCCCACATAGCAGCAGCTCATAGACAGAGAGAGAGAAGAGAATCCTTCCCCTGGAAGAGCTGAACATCCTCAGGTGTGGAACAGGAGCTGCTTTCCAACCACTTCCCTTGCATTTATTGCCTTGGAGTCCAAACCTGAGTGAGCAAGTGCAGAATGTGTCCCTGCAGGGGGGGACAAAGGCAGCTGGTCCAGGGGGACAACCTGCCCAGTTCCTGTCCTTTAGCAGCACAGAATCATGGAATCATGGAATTGCTAAGGCTGGAAAAGACCTTTAAGATCTTTGAGTCCACCATCAACCCAGCATGGTCACCACTAAAACATGTCCCCAAGGGCCACATCCACATGCTGTTTGAACACTTCCAGGGATGGTGACTCCACCACTGCCCTGGGCAGCCTGTGCCAGTGCCTGACCACCCTTTCCATAGAGAAATATTCCCTAATATCCAGCCTAAATCTCCCCTGGCACAACTTGAGGCAGTTTCCTCTGTTCCTGTTACCTGGGGATTAGAAATTAAAAAGCTCACTCAGCCTCACAGCCCCAAAGTGTAAACCTTGGGTCAAAAATAACATTCCCAAGCTGGAGAAACTCATCCTCCAGGAACACAGCAGGGTTCTGCAGCCACACTCCTCTCCCCCATGACCTGTGGAGAGGGCTCACAGCCAAGGAGACCCACCACAGCAGGGGCAAAGGGCTCCCTGCTGAGAGCTCTACACAAGCAGCAGAGGTGTCTGCTGGGTGCTGGAGCAAACACAGAGGGTGGCAGAGCCAGCAGGACTCACAGTCCAGCACTTTCTTCTCCTCTGCAGTGAAGAGGACGGCCCGGCCGGCCTTGTCCGGGTGAGGCATCGGGTACCCGTTCTCCTTCAGCTGCTCCTCACTCATCAGGTAGTCCTTGAGGCGCCGGTACAGGGCAGCTCCTGCACACACAGACAGTGCTCAAGTCACACCTCTGAAGTTTCTCTCACTGCTTTTGGTGTTATCAAGGTATTCCCACTGAATTCTGAACGTGCTTCCGCCGGCGCTGCCTAAAATCGAAGGAATAATTCTCCGGACAGGGTTAGTACTGAAAGGTAAAAAAAAGCAGCTCTTTAATAAGAAGTCTTAGGTGCACAAAGATGGCATATGCACACCCACACACACAGGTTTTACAAACCTATAGCATCACCTAACTGTGATATCTAACTGTTACCTCACAGGGACACACCCAGCCCGAAAACTG